TGCTACACCAATCAGTGGGCATGCCGACGGGTACTGGGGTTATGATACCCCTTTTCACATCTTCCCAAAGGGCCTGCATTACGGGCTCTTTGAAGTGAAAAGGCACAGGAATTGGGTTATGTCTGGCTTTGGGGACTGCTCCTTCTTTGAGGTGTATATGAGCAGTGGGGTCAGACATTGGTGGGAATTCACCATTATTTTGAACGCCGTTTCGGCGAATTGATTTAATAGCCAATTCTTGAGCCTATCAATGTTTTGTTCTGTTGGGGGAAAAGGGTTTTTTGGGGGCGCGTTGGAAGTTGTCCCTCGACTTTGCATTGTTTAGGGCTCGCGTCTGATTTTTTATGTGTGCTTGTCGAGGGCATGTGTTGAATTGCTGTTTGGGGTAATATTGTAGTCGTTGGGTTTGGGAAGTCTTTCGACAGTATCCCTACGTCAATGCAGGCTGCTTTGCTGAAGTATAGCCGCTGGATCTTTTGCATATGTATAGGGCTTGTTTAGTTGTTCTTCCTTGGACGATGAATTCCACGGGAGCCAACCCTGACATACGAGTGTAAAGCCTCCCACAGCTCGGACGACTTTTCTTGATGGAATGAGGTTGTTGGTAGTGAGCCCCATATTCAGAAGGTGCTTAAGTCCTCCGAGACATATGGTGGCCCCACTGTCAGGAAAGATCGTCATCCTAGTGCTGCGATTTCTGGGGATATTCTTAACTTGTCTGGGATCCGGTTTTGGCGAGAATGGAACAACATATGCATCAATCTCCCTTACCTGGCCTGTGTCTTTAGATGTATACGTGCTCGTCGTTTGATTGAATGTAATGTGGGCAATAAGTGTGTCCATGGCGGCTTCATTAGCCTCTGGGATTTTCCTTACTGCTTGAGCCAGTTTCTTAGCCCGGCATACCCTCGATAGGTGATTGGGCTTCCCACAATTACTTCATGTTTGTCCCCATGCTGGACATTTTAGCCGGCGGGATCCAGTTCCTGAGGTGCCATGCTGGTGGCTGCCACAACTTAAGCAAGCCTGGTGGTTTGGTTTAACATTGCAGTTGCAATAGGTGCTGGTACGGATCCCCTCATTGGTTTGTGGCGTACCCTTCTGTCTGCGGTATGTTGATAGCCGAGCAGCGGCTGTATCTGAAGCGCCAGCCATTGAGGTTTGGTCTCGCAATGCTGATTCAAATGCCTCAGCATGACGGATATTTTGCTCAAGGGATTTAAGTGCCCCAGCTTTGGCCAGTAGGTCAGCCGGGAGTGTGTTATTTGCTATTCCACGGATGATCTGCTTCTTGATGTATATATCAGACAGGTCATGCTCACATGAGGGGCAGGTAAAGTTACAATCAACAGCTACGGCTCTGAGGCGGACAAGGTAATTTTGTATTGTCTCATCCGCATCCTGAGACATGGAGGAAAAAGCAAGGCGATGACAATAGGACTTGACCTCTGGGTGACCAACGTTTCTACCATGTCAAGTAGCTTATCTGGATCAGTGGTAAAGAAGTTAGGGTGTGTGTTGATTTTGGCTTTTTGCACAGTCTCATCAGCACAATTGTATAGGTGAATATTAGCTGACCGAAGTTTTTTTTAATAAATGGAGTCAATTTTTCCAGATAAAAGAAAAGGTAGAGAAAGAAAAAAAATTAAAAAGGAAAAAAAATTATATTAAAAGCGGAAGAAAGAAAAATATTTCAATATAAGGCTTAAAAAATTGTGAAAGGAGAAAGAGAGAGAGGGGGGAAGAGAGAGGAGGGGAAGAGAAGAAAGGAAAGCAGGAGGAATTAAACATGAGTCGATAGGGTGACCGAGAAATCATTTTTTTTTCTTTATGGGCAGAACAATTTAAAATACAAGGTAAGAGAATGGGGATCAGACTTAGAATAGATACAGTAATGTGTCTGATACTCATGTAATTTTCTACAGCAAAGGAATCATCATAGTATTATAATCATCACATTTTCAAATTATTATTAATAATAATAATAATAATAATAATTGACATCAATAAAATAAAGTAATTTAAATAAATTGAAATTTAAAATCTATAAAAAATATATAAAAATGTTAAATAATTCAATAAATTAGGAGATAAATAAAGAAAAAATTAAAGAACTCAAAATAAATAAATATATATACATTAATAAATTATTCCCTTTCCTTTTTTTCTTTTACTCCCTTTCCCTTTTGGACAAATTGACTACATTTAAAAAAATCTTCGGTCTGAATAATTGTATATATGTAATAATTATTATGTAATAATTATTATGAAATAAGTTATAACCGAATGGATTTTTATGAACATAATAAAATAGGCAGCATATATATATATATTACAAAAAGTTAATCATACCTTGAATCGATTATAAAATGGATATGGGTTATTGGCGAAATCCACTCACTAATAAAAATAATTATAAGCAATTTATACTAATAATCCAGTGGATTATTAGTATCCTAATGTATAATGGATTATGTTATTTAAAGTACTAAAAAATTTTGCCAATAATTGCATTAATATTTTAATTGATTCAAGATATGATTAACTTGTTTTATATATATATATATATATATATATATATATATATATAATTATTTATTTAAAAATTATAACATAAATATGTTATAAAATCACTACAAAAATAGCCATTATGTTTCAACACCTCTGGTGTCTTATCAAGTGATGATGTTAAATGTAAAATAAATGGTTTTAAAAGTTTCAAATTAATTAACGATCCTTCGCAAGGGGAAAACGCTGTTACAAAAGCTAGAATGACCAATTAAAATACAAGTATAGGAAAATTCAAAAAACTTGACAACGAAGTAAGGTTATAATAGCTATTAAGAGCTTTAAAGTTGGGGTTATACTAAAATAGAATTTATTCTAACCAATAAGTATTAAATTATATGACAAATTTCATATTAAAATTAAAAGTAAAAAATTACCAATTTTAAAATCTAAATTTAATCTCTATTAATTTTAAAATTATAAAATTACTGAGGAGAAAATCAAAAAATACATATGTTATTCAATTTATTTCTTTATTGAAATTACATTATATATATATGTATGTATGTATTGAAATTACATTATATATATATATATATATATATATATATATATGAATATATGTATGTATAGTTGTGAACAAAATTATATAGAGAGATATACATATAATTGGTGTCACTGAGTTTCTATATATTTTTGTAGGGAGGTAAGAAAAATGTTATTTTTAGATATTTAATAATCTTAGAGGGTTTAGTGAATCCATTATATTCACTTACGTGCTAATGCCTTTGGGAAACCTAGGAATCCTCTTCTTCTCTCCCCAGCTATGGGTAAATAGCAGGACAAACCGGGTTCTTTAGCCTTAGATGGCAACTGGTCTTCGACAGAAAGAAATAACAACCTACTGCCGGAAAAAAAAATCTGCCTTGTCAGTCATGTATCGAAAGATACATGATCGCCTAAGCGTATATCACGCATGGCACATAACTGACTTACGTACTAATACCCTTGGGAAAGGTATGAATCCTCGCCCCCGACACTGCTACCAATGGGTAAATAGCAGGATAGACTGGGTGCTATAGCCTTGGATGGCAACTGGTCTTCGACAGAAAGAAATGGCAACCTACTGCCGGAAAAAAAAATCTGCCTTGTCAGTCATGTATCGAAAGATACATGATCGCCTAAGCGTATATCACGCATGGCATATAACTGAGTGGCTTAGGTATCATCTTATTAGTGTCGTTTCATTTTCTGTTGTTATTAATGTCACCACTGTAATCCTTTTGTATAAAGTGCCTGTCGAAGTCATTGTCACGTTGTGTGTGATAGTTTCTTTATGGCAGGCGTCTATGACATCGTCATTGTTATTCCGGTTGCAAATTTCAGTCCGAATCCGAAGGACTCTAGTCGTGGAAGCTTTTACACTTGAAAGATTGTTGACATCTGCTGGCTATACACAGATTTTGAGACCATACCGTATACGAAACCACAAGGGTGAGGCGTTGCGGAATTTGAGCTAATTTAGATGTATCAGAAGGGGTAATTGTGTGAAGGCTTAAAAATGTGCGTGTTCGTTAAGCATTCATCCATAACAAATAAAATAAACAAATATTTGAAGGCAATTCAATTGGAAGAAATCAAGGTGAAACAACATAGTTATAGATTTCAACAAATAACAAACATTTATATACGTTTGATATACACAAAGGGAATTTATGATTTGCTTGATAAATGTGGCGAGATAAATTTGTTAGGAGTGACCATGCAGAGATTTGGTGTATGAAAGCTTGTAGTTTAAGTTTGCCTATGAAATTAAAACAGTTTGAATTCTACAGGGTGAAATGTCAAATATTAGTGTGTATGTGTGTGACAATTGTAAATATTGTTTAAAGTCATAAGGAGTTATGTACTTTTGACTGATATGATATAAATCGATTAAATATACAATTACTATTTTGTAGTAATAATGTCACTTTTTCTAGTGAATTGTAAGTTGAGTTAATTCGCGCGGCTAGACTGTGTGAGTTGTGTTGAGTTGCTGAGAGAGAATGGTGGTTGTTGAGTCAGTGTGCTGGCGTACGTGGAGTTTGTTGGCATCTCTCAAAAACTCAGTTCCTGACTGCTTGAATCAAGTCAAGCCATCCTATTTAATGACTTTTTGGATTTCAAACCGGCTCCAGATAGGTGAGCGGGAAAAGGATTTGTCTCAACATGCTACATTTTTTGTGTCCTTTTAACCAATAGGAAGTCAAGTTTGGAAAAGTGAAGTGGTGATTGGTTAAAGTTGATTTGGGGGAAGAGTTCATTTTCCCGCAGGGGTGACTGGCAAATATGGAGGATTCCATTAGAGGTAAATATATTAAAAACACTTATCTACAAACTGAAATCGATTCATCATCTCCTCAGATTAAGTTGGTAGAAATGAGATTATGGATGTCAATGCTTCTATGAAAAAGAAAAGATAGATATTCTGTTAAACAATATTAGTGTTTATGCAAAAATTGAACGTAAATCTATCTATCAAAACCTGTTCATCTATCTATCTATCTATCTATCTATCAAAGCCTGTTCATCGATCTATCTAAATTTAAATCATTAACCTTTGCATTAGTTTTGTGTGAATAATTCATGTATATATATATATATATATATATATATATATATATATATATATATATATATATATATATATATATATATATATATATATATATATATATATATATATATATATATATATATATATATATATATATATATATCACTTATACGTTATATATCCCTTCAGATCTAACGTTGGTCGTTCCTGCAAAATGGACGCCGGGTTGAATCCTGTTGTCGGTCTCATCTTTTCTTTCATAAAATTTCTCGCATTTCTTTCACTTTCATCTAATGTACAGGGTGACCCCAAAAAATGGGACTTTTTGAAGTGCGTATTACCAGACATGAGCAAGTGGCAACACTGCGAGACAGTGACCTTGAGCAAGTAAATATTTCGCCATTTAGAATTCAAGATGAAATTTATAGTATCCCAGGTGAGATGTTGCAGCAGTCAATGAGGAATATCAACAGCAGATTTCAAGAATGCATTCGTAAAGGAGGACGCCATCTACAGGACGTAATTTTTAGAAAATGAAAATTCTATCATTGTTTCTTAAATGGCATGCTTTAAGGTTTCAATTACTATGAATAAAATATTTTTCTTGCATCAATCTTGGTTTTATTGGATTGTTAAAAAGTTCCCATTTTGGGGGGTCAGCCTATATTAGAGGTAGAGTCGGCTTTCGATCCCGGTTTGAAGCAATCGGATGTCTGTCCACACTGATGAGCTGTGAAACAGCGAAACAGTCATTCTGTGAATAATATATATATATATATATATATATGTGTGTGTGTGTGTGTGTGTGTGTGTGTGTGTGTGTGTGTGTGTGTGTGTGTGTATGTGCGTGTGTGTGAATTCCGATAAGTCGGGAATTTCCATCAAACCTACTGGCACGTAAACAAAGCATGCAATTACGGCACCTCAATGAATCGCTCCAATTCTCTGTCAGGCATGAAAGTATGTGACATTACTGTATAAAAAGCAGATTGCTTCTCTCGAGATAAATGTTCCGATTTCACTGTAACGCTTCCTTTAACTCTGCCTTTCCACTTAGCGTTCACGACTTCGCCCCTAGTGATATACATGCACAGCTGAACAATTTTAAACGATCATCGATATTTATAGTTGTCTAACACAGACTCACATTTAAGCATATAGATCGCAGACGCCATTGTTGAGTTGACAGACAGTAGACCATTGCGAGTGGGTTCGATTCACGCTGGCTGACCAGTACATTTTTTAATGATTTCAGCCCGAGTAAAGCAATAAAAATACTAAGATGCAGAAAGGCCGGGGGTACTGAGTGAGAGAGAATGAGAAAAAAAATAACAAACAGTTATATAATAGGAATAATAACCGACATTGCCCAATTGTTAGATTAAAATCTCAAGCGGTTTATCTCAGAAATGATTAAAGATATCTTACTGGAATTCTCTGAGGTTTTTATAACACTATTGGACTCTACTTTGATCAAGAAGAATGTATGATTATTATCTAAGATTAACAAAAGTATCGTGATGAAATTGATCATAAAAGAAAATGATATGTTCAGCAGTAATTAATCATAGCTAAGGATCGGAAGCTCATGAAATATTGAAATAAACTTCGCCCTCTCTAAGATTCTAACTTACTGGAGTAACAAGATGTCTCACGGGTTTCACGTACAATTTCATTTTCAAATCTTTTTTCACTGCTCTTTGGACTGTCATAGCTGAAACTCCTCTCTCACGTGCCAAGGATCTGATGGATTGAGATTATATATGTTTAGCTCTAAGTTGTAATGATAATCCTTCTCCCTGCTGTGACCTCCTGATCCAGTTTTCCTCTCTACTGTCCCCTCTTTTTTAAACATTTAGCATTCTCTTGATGATTCCTGAATGGACTTTAAAGATGGAAGCCAGATTACGGATCTTTGTACCATTACTGAAGGCCTGAATGATCTTTTTCCTCTTACCATTGCTCCGTTGAGAAGACAATATGTCTGACAAAATATTTTTAGCTGAATAACTCAAAGGGTTTTCAGTGATTCTTACGTAAAATGGTGTCAATATGCCTAAATGTCTTATCTGAAAACCGTGAAAAAAGAAACTAAATTAGTTTAGTGTATTTTATATATTAAACATTTTGCAGGGTGGATAATTATGATGTTACACGATTTGGATAATTTTGTCGTTACACCCGATATATATATATATATATATATATATATATATATATATATATATATATATATATATATATATATAGTATGAAGCCGCCAAGTCAGTCAATGGGATACTGAGAGGAAGTCAAGCTGTCTTTGTAATAAAGTGCTCGATATCAAAGATGGAGCTTTAATAGAATTCATTCAGCATACACGTTAGGGTTTGCTTATACCCGTAACGAGTGAACTGGCTAGTCCTTCTACGGAACTCTGGAGTCGGGATGCTGAAGGTAATATAAATCAGCTAAGTGATATATATATATATATATATATATATATATATATATATATATATATATATATATATATATATATATACGGGTTTAAGAACAGATTTTACTGCTTTTAAATTACAATCTTCCAGGATTTCAAATATGCCCGAGGCGTATCTAAATGTAAACCAATGACGCCACACACTAAGAAATGGACAAAGTCCGACAATTATTTTAATATACTTTATTGTTATACGTTATTTATATCGACACAAATACTTAAGTAAACGCTCTGTTTATAATAAACAGTACTAACAACATTTACTGGTCTGAACGTCCGAGAAAATTTCATAGAAAATATGTACCCTCCGACAGGAATCGAACCTGCATCCTACACGGAACCGTCATATATCCTGACGTGCTATAACATTTAGCTACAGAGGAAGCGTCTGGTTAGCAAGGTCGATTTTACTGCTTTGAAACTACAATCTTCCATGACTTCCCTCAAACGTTCATGTCTGCTCGAAGCGTATCAATACGTAAACAAATGACATAAGATACTGCGAAAATGGATAAAGTCCGATAATTATTTTAATATTTTAATATATATATATATATATATATATATATATATATATATATATATATATATATATATATATATATATACAGTGTAACCCGGATATAAGAGAGTTGACGGGACCGGAGAAGAAGTCACTTATATCCGGGTTTCTCTATATCCGGGTTTGGTCTATTTTGTTTAGGTAGCACATGCTCTAATTTGGGACCAGAGAAAATCTCTATTATATCCGGGTTTCTCTTATATCCGGGTCTCTTATATCCGGGTTACAATATATATATATATATATATATATATATATATATATGTATGTATGTATGTATGCATGTATTATACCTTATTTATATACAATAAAATTTAATTAAATTAGTTTAAAAGCTTTAAAATCGACATTGCTAACCAGACGTTTCCTCTGTAGCTAAACTGGTGTCGCCCGTCAGGCATTATGACAGTTCCGTGTAGTATACAGGTTTGATTCCTGTCTGAAATTGAAAATTTCTTGGCGGTTCAGGCCGGTAAATGTTGTTAGTACTGTTTATTATAAACAGAGCATTTACTTAAATGTTTGTGTGTGTGTATATAACGTATAACAATAAAATATATATTAAAATAATTGTTGGACTTTGTCCATTTTGTAATGTGTGACGTTATTTATATATATATATATATATATATATATATATATATATATATTGCTGTGACCAAGTAAGTTAAATGCGTTACTCGACTTGGGAGTGTGTGTCGGTTGACCAGCGTTCAGTCTATATCACCGTTAATATTTAACAGCTCCCCTCCGAGGGATATATGTGGCACAAGGCGGAGTTTAACGTGGGTCATCCGATCCCGTAGGCTCGGCCAAAATAATACCCGTAGAATCTGCATAAACGGATTCGCCTTTGTCTAACTCGCCGGGGCGAAACTCTCCCCTTCGGCACAGCCTCGTCCGCGTTCCTCTCTGCCCAAGGTAGAGAGTTCGACAGGAGCTGCGAATAGTCTCAGAAGAACAGTTTAGATCACCGTTCTCCTGAGGCTTATTTTTCCTACTAAATTTATAGTAAGTGGAAGAGTCCACAATAGCCTCATTAGAGGGAGGACGCCACAATGCCCACACACACACATATATATATGCATAAATATATATATATATATATATATATATATATATATATATATATATATATATACATAAAACATATATATATATATACATACATACATATATATGTTTGTGTGTGTATGTATGTATGTATGTATCTTTGTGTGTAGTCGTGATGTCAGTCAGAATTTCAGAAAATCAAAGTAACTTTTTTTCGTGTCTGACCTGACAGCTGGCTAGAAAACCATTGCAAATTTAATAAACGCATGTTTAATCTTTTTCGTTTTCTTTCTTTCAATAAGAACTTTTTATGCTTACTTTTACTTCCGCCTTGCATAATGCGTGTCTACACGGTTTGATTTGGGAGAGAAAATGGCTGCATTTTTTTTCTTTTACCTATATTGAAAAGTGAACGTAAAACCGAAGATGATTATCGAGTATTTTGATTAATTAGAGTCAGACATATGCCCTCCCCTCGTACTGGTGCAACACAGTCCTCATTATCAAATTTCTTCCGTTTGACCTTCAGACGAACAAAAATCAGCTGAGAATACCATCTTGATCATTTCCTGATTTACTTTGTAATTGAGATAGTTATGTATGCTACTGAGGTTAGTGTCCGAAACTAGGCAAATGTTTTTTTTGCTTTTTTTTATTTCAAATACGTATTTTCAAGATATCCAGACAAACCACTCTCCCTCAAAATATCGATTAAACACAATGTTTTAGCTTACAAATTTCAGTTGGCATCTCGTTTTCAGTCACTTTCTCACCGACTTGGCGTGGCCTCCTATCTTTTTTCTACAAATATTTTCATGACAACGAGCTTTTTTTTTATCCTGGTGTTGCGGCTCCATGGTTTTAAGAGTGCTAT